TGGTGTATGATGAGTGGTGTATGATGAGTGGTGTATGATGAGTGGTGGTTGAGCAGCTGTTGAATGTCCGTAACACGGAAGTTTTGCACACTAAACTTCCTTTGATAAGTAAGTTATATAAAAGAAAGTGTAAGTAAGTTATGAGAAAGTTGAACATATTAAGTTGCTTAACTTGTTTGCGTTGCCAAAAATCAGGGCAGACAACCGCCGAGCCAAAAACACAGAAAGCACAAGTGTTTTCATATTCTGGGCAGACAACCGCCGCACTTAGTCCACAGCCAGTCGCACTTTTACAGCAGACACACGACTTTGTCATCTTCGTGGCACCACCACGCTGGCCGCCAGACATTGCTGCAACCGATTTGCACAGCTTCGATCTGGGGCGTTCGTTTGAACTCGCGAGTGTTGAAAACCGCGGCTGATTCTTCGAGACTTGTATGCAACCAACTGCGTCTCCTCCATGCTTCAAACTGCGCAAGAAAACTTTTTTGAGCCCTCAAATGTTTGCCATAGAAAAAAAACTTGGTGGCAAGGAGATCTAAGGAGACACACGGGGATACACAAGGAAACACCAGGATACAATAGGATACACGTGTATCCTAATGTATCCCTGTGTATCTCTTTGTATCCCTGCGTCTTCCGTTTCTATCGCAAAAAATGATCCGAATGTCTGTACAAAAGCGATTTCATACAAGATTGCATTGAAGAGAAAAGTACTGGGCAGAACAACCACCAAAGGTCCAAGAATTGCATTACGTTTTTTTTGTGTCACCGGCTCGCTCGTGCATCCCTCACGACTTCTTCATCACAGACATGGTGCATCTCACATGTGCATCAGGGTGCATCTCACACAGCCTGGGCAGATAACCGCCAAAAGAATCAACAAATCCTGCACAATGTGAGCACTTATTGACCTTGTTGGTGATCATTGTTTTGCACAGAATTTTCAATTCATCAACTAACTTGCGTAACTTGTTTCTAAGTTCTGCAAGCTTCAACATAGCATGTGTCATAACTATATTATAAGCTTCACATGTTTTTGAACTTACTTATATATCCCCCGTGATTGTGGGCTTTTAAAATGCAGATCCTTTTCCTTTACAAAATGCAAATTCCAAGACACATTTTATAAACAGTTTTTTAAGGATGACTACATAAGAACTAGAGTATCGTCATTTTATAAACTTTACTAACTTGGACACTGAATGACAGTAGTAGAGGGCAGGTGAACCCCGTAATCTCAGTTTATAAACATTCACTTGTCGAGTTGTCAGAGGATGGTCAGAACATGATTTCTCATTTTATAAAGATCATGTTCTGGACTGTCTAAAAAGGTATTGATTTGTCATATGTTTCAAAAAAACAAAATTGTAAGAAATGGCCTCAAAACTCTTGAAACCTCAAGGAAAGACAGGAACTGAAGGAATATGACCAGGAAAATAACTAAACATTAAAAATTAACTAGCTACTTTTTCTACACTTTTCTCCTCTCCCCTGTCTGTGTGTCTCTTCCCTTTATGGCGGGAGAGCGGTGTGCACCGATTCCGGGCCTCGGTCTCGCAAACTCCGAAAGGTCGGATGGAGTCGGATGACGTCGCTGGGCACGGGCCGCTCGGACGGCCGACCCCAACACCGCTCTCCCGCCATAAAGGGAAGAGACACACAGACAGGGGAGAGGAGAAAAGTGTAGAAAAAGTAGCTATAGTTAATTTTCAATGTTTCGTTATTTTCCTGGTCATATTCCTTCAGTTCCTGTCTTTCCTTTAGGTTTCAAGAGTCTTGAAAAGTGGGTTCAAATTCAGTTGTTGATTATTGAAAATATATATTTTCAGATTCTGAAAATTCAGAATCTGAATCATTACTAAAGAATAACTATTTCAGAATCTTGAGATCTTGACATGACGAATTTTCATTTTATAAAGTATCCGGATTTGGCTTCTTACGGACATTTCCGATGAGCAATTCGCATTTTATAAAGTGTTTCTTCCTGGATGTCGATTTCTATCTTAACCTATCACAACCTGTGCTGGTCATTTTATAAACTAGTTTGTTTTTCATTTTATTGACAAAAAACCCATCCCACACATTTTATAAACCCAAAGTTTATAAAATGCAAAAACAGCGCGCCTATGAACAATCACGGGGGATCTTATACTTGTGTTTTAACTTCCAAGGAACTTATCGAACTTAGCATAGGTTATAACACATGTGATCCCTAGTTATAACTTGTGTTGATGAAGTTTTTAACTTCTTCAACTTGGGCTGCATGGTGTATGGTCAATGGTGGTCACTTCCCACTCAATGTATTCAAGTTGAAATACGGCGCTGGCAATGCGGAGGTGGAGGGCCCAAGCTAGCCTAGCTTTTGTTAGGAAATCTGGACCCCATGCAGTGCCCACAGAGGCACGACATTCCTTTTTTGCAATGGCGCGCAGCCATTGCCCGTGGCAGCCCGGGACTTGCATGGAAGCGTGACTTGTCAGATTCGTGCGAAATAGCGAGGAAACGTGTGGAAGCGCAAGATGTTGAAGTGTGGAGGATGATTTCACTGCGCAGGTGCAGCGGTTTGTGAGATCCGCAGTTTTCTGCGCAGTCACAAAGGGGATTGGCGTTTGAAGAGTGGTGTTCTTGGGGTGTTAGCTGTGACATTGGGACTTGCGTTTCAGAGTGTTGCACCGAAGCTGTGTTTTCGTGACTCGTCTCAGCTGAAATTGCGATTTTTGGTGGATGGGAGTGTGTGCTCAGAACGTGTCGAAATCATTCCAAACGTGTGGTGTGGTGCAAAATGTTGAAAGCTCACATGATATGATATTGTCGCTTTTCGTGGCAGGCGCAGTACGTACTTTGTGCGGGCTTGGAGGTGTGGAGGTGCTGTGATTTTCGTGGCAGGCGCACGGAATCGTGAGGTTACGATGTGTGGCGGAGGTCACATTTCGTGGCAGGTGCGGTACTTTGTGCGTGTTAGACGTGTGGATGTGTACATTTTTGTGGCCGGCGCCGGGAATCGTGAGGTTGCGATCGTTTCAGGCTCCCAGAGAGCATCACGGGCTGGATCACACCTGGTCAATGCTGGTCACTTCCCCTTTAATGTATTCAAGTTGAAATACGGCGCTGGCAATGCGGAGGTGGAGGGCCCAAGCTAGCCTAGCTTTTGTTAGGAAATCTGGACCCCATCATAGCCCGTGGCAGCCGGGATTTGCATGGAAGCGTGACTTGTCAGATTCGTGCGAAATATAGCGAGGAAATGTGTGGAAGCGCAAGATGTTGAAGTGTGGAGGATGATTTCACTGCGCAGGCGCAGCGTTTTGTGAGATCCGCAGTTTTCTGCACAGTCACATGGGGATTGGCGCTTGGAGAGTGGTGTTCTTGGGGTGTTGGATGTGGCTGTGACATTGGGACTTGCGTTTCAGGGTGTTGCACCGAAGCTGTGTTTTCGTGACTCGTCTCAGCTGAAATTGCGATTTTTGGTGGATGGGAGTGTGTGCTCAGAACGTGTCGAAATCATTCCAAACGTGTGGTGTGGTGCAAAGTTTTGTTGAAGCTCATATGATATGATATCGTCGCTTTTCGTGGCAGGCGCAGTACTTTGTGCCGGTTTAGTGCGATTTTCGTGGCAGGCACAGGGAATCGTGAGGTCATTTTGTGGCAGGTGCGGTACTTTGTGCGTGTTAGACATGTGGACGTGTACCTTTTTGTGGCCGGTGCCGGGAATCGTGAGGTTGCAAGTTGTGGTGGAGGTTCGCTGTGGCATTGGGATCGGCACGTGAGCGGGCGTTGTTTGGGGGGCATGGTTTCGCGAAACTTCTTGGCAGGGGGGGTGCTTGATGCCTGTGCTCCGATAGGGTTTCCCGCTGGACTTTTGGAGGAAGTCTCGTACGAAATGCTGGTTCTGGAGACTTTGACACGTGAGTTTTGGAGGAAGTCTCGTATGAAATGCTCATTTTGGAGACTTGACGCGTGACTTTTGGATGCGGTCTCGTACGAAACGATTCTTTACAGACTCGAAGTGTGAGTTTTTACGCTCGTTTTGGAGGAATGATGGGTGACGGTTGGAGGGAGTCTCGCATGAAATGCTTGTTTTGGAGACTTGGACATTTGACTTTTGGAGCAATGCCATTGTTTCGATGTGGATCAGCCACAACCTTTACGCTTTGAATGCAAAACGAAGACTCTTCATGAATGCTACGGAGGTTGGTGGTGGAGTCCCCAGCGCATGATGCCTTGGTGGTGGAGTCCCCAGCGCATGATGCCCCTTGTTTGCCTGCTCATATGGCTGAGGATTCTCGACGTTAGCGAGCTGGAACATGAAAAATGACCTCTTGAACATGTCTATTACGCAGGCAGTCGATTTGAATATTTTTGTCAGCATATGCAACTTTATGACCTGGATTAAAGCTAACTTTAATGAGTCACAAATTCATGAAAATACAAAACATTACAAACATAATGCAAAGAAAAATACCAAAAACAATCATACAAAAAACATACAAAAAATGGGGCGCCCACTTCACAATGAACAGGAGCACTAGGTTGCTGCCTGACACCACGAAGCCTCGCAAGAGAAGAAAACCCTAAACAGGAACCCTCCTTCAAAAACAACAAACCTTTAGACACCTTCAACCGTTCTTAAATAAAATGGAACTCGTGCTAGGTCGTGTGTACTTCAATGTTGTTGGCATCCACTTTCGAAGACAAGAGTTTCAAACAAGAGCAGGACGCCTGTGTCAAACCATACTCTGTAAGATTAAATCTACGAACAGCGTACGAATGATTTGTTTCCTGCTATTGAGCAAAAGATCAAAAGCAGTCCGCAAGATCTCGTTTGCCTTTTGTGATGGGGTTCCCGGAGGGTATTTGTTTTTTCTATTATTACCTGGAAAATACCAAAAACACAAAATCAAAACAACAATAACGCAAATCCGTTTTTCCTAGGATAAACAATACGAAACAAATACAAACACAGTACGCATGAAAAACATCAAAAGCAAACAAACATACGGAGAAAATGGGGGACATATTCAATGCAGGCCTTGCTATGACCGCCCTTCACTTGTCGTCTTACTGAGATGACCTGACATTCCTTCCTTGTTGTTTTCCCCTGGCTGGCTAGTAATTATTTATACTCAAAATATCCTGGTCTATTCTCAATGTGCCTCTTGCGTTATTTGTGCTGGCCTTTGTGTATGCCACATGCAGCCTCTACTTGGGTTTCAATCAGTGAACAGTTACCTGTTGCAGTGCCTCTTTGACACCTTTTTTCCTTTGGACGTGCTGATTTCTATCGCAGACTATCCAGTCCGCTTGTGTTTTTGTGTGACTGTGCTATTTTCATTCCTTTTTATCCTATTGTTGTTGTATTGTTTTTGTATGTTTCTTGTTTTGTATTTTTTCCTAAACGTATGACCCGCCGGGGTCGACCGCCGGCCAGGCGAGCGCCCCAGCGCCCCAGCACGAGCGGAGCATCGGTGGCGGGTCCCAACGCCGGAACGACCGAGATGGGCCATGGCAGTGGGCCATGTTTTTTGGGTTTTTGTTGGTGATCCTCGAAGTAGATAGTGGAGATAGTGGCACGGTTTCGATCACATGTTCTACGGATCTACTGATCTACTTTTCTATCTATGACAGGGGGTCTATATGGATGATTTGGCCAATCATTCAGCTACGTGGGGTTATACAGTAGCGACTAGCCAACCAACTGCAGTTTGTACCCTAGCCTTCCAAGACCATTAGAAAATGGCTGACTCACCTGGTTTTGTCAATGGTTGTTTGGGTTTCGAACTATCAAATCCATCGTGGGACAGGAATCCTGCTACAAACTCACAAGTTTGTTCATGTTTTTTCTACAAAACATACCGATTGCTATGGCCTGTCAAAGATTGCTAAGGCTTTAGCGGTTAAGGATGAAGAGCAGTTCGCCGTGTGGACCCCCCTCTCCTGGTGTGGATCGAAGCTCCATCCGGCCATTTTGCTGACCCTTTGGCTGGATCTGCCGCCTGGATCTGCCGACCGCCAACCCCTTTGGCTGACCGCATGTGTTGAGTGAAGAGATCTTTCGAAGATAGATCCAGGGTCGGTTTCCACCCAAGATCTGCTTTGTAAGACTGGATCGGTTTCTTTTTGAGCGAGTGGACCCGTGGACCAACAAAAAAGGTTTTAACAAAGCACCTCGAATTTGGTTCCATCATCTTCCACCCAAAAACGTGATTTTGGCATCAGAGCCATTAGGTCCACCGCGATTCGGCCCGGCTAAAAGCGCAGCGCACGGCGGCCCTTCTAAGCCAAGGCAGCCATCCGGCCAATGACAGCGGCGCCCTTTGAGGCATTGTGCAGTGGTGGAACGATTCGATATCTATTGGGTCTGGAAGGTTGTGTGCTTCATTGTTTCATATTGTTTCATTGAATTGATTGAGTTGATTTGATTTGATTTGGTTTTGATTTGATTTGATCTGATCTGGTCTGATCTGATCTGATCTGATCTGATTGATTGATTGATTCATTCATTGTTTGTTTGTTTGATTGATTAATTCATTGGAATTCATTCATTCATGAATGAATTCATTCATGTGTTCATTGTTTTCTTGGTTTGCTAATTGGTTGACTGGTTGATTAGTTACTTGGTTGGTTTATGAATTAATTGTTTGATTGACTGCTTGGTTGCTGCGTTGATTGGTTGGTTCGCTGCAGAGGTTGCTTGGTGCTTGGTGCTTAGCAGCTTTTGTTTGGTTTTGTCACAGTTTCCCCGATCAGAAGTATCCGCATCTCATGTCCTCATGTCCTAGTGCTTGGATCTGATCAGTGCTGGAGATCTCCTTGTTGTGCGGCGTACAACCTCCAGGAAAGAGACTTTGGAACACTTGCCAGGCTTGGGTTCCGAACGGAGCACGGCCTCCTTGGAATCTGAGTAACCCAGCACTTACCCTCCCTCCAACCATCAAACGTGGATGGCATGGCCCTAAAGACCGTGAAATCTGAAGAGCAAACAGGGGATTGTCCACTTCCATGGGAGGGTAGTTGGGTAGTAGACCAATTTGTTCAATTTACATGCTTGACCCTCGCAGGTGGCGGCTTTGACGCCCTTGTCCTATCCTTAGAAAACTCGGGTGGTGAAAAGCAGGCTGGAGACTGGGTGGACACCTAAAATGATTTGCAGCCCTTCATTCAGTCTTCACTTGAGACTCTCAACAACTTTTGTTCAGATGTGGAATAGCTCCAAACAAGCTATAGCCGCAAGAAAACGCCTTGATGCCGTAACTATAAGGTCGGCCGGAGAAAGAACGGTTTCTTCAGCACATAGATGTTCTGAACGTCTCCGTGAACGGGAACGCAGCTGAAGACATGAACGGCTCTTGTGACACGAAGACGAAGCAAACTTCCCGAGCTGCGAACCTGTGCATCACCGGCAGAAGCCTTCACAGCCTGGTATCTGCATGTTTTTGGCCTTCCCAGTGGCCTTTCAATGATTCAAGCATTGATCTTGTTGTTAAGTTGTTGGTATTGCGATGCAATTTTTGAGGTTTGGTCGACCTGAAAACCGTCAAGTGAAGGTTTATTACAATTTTCTCGGATTCCCAAGGGTTGTCCAACTGAGAAAGAGAGCTCTTGCCCCGAGTTGCACGGTTTACGTGGGGGCGTGCAAGCTGCCATTCCAAAGACGAGGCACTGTTTTTTTGTTTGCATTTTGCTTTGCTTCTGAGGATCTTGAGCTAAACATAAAACTCAGGCAATAGAAGTTACAAATAGGAGTTGATGTGAGAAATTGCTCGATGTGCAGCTGGAATTGGATATCACATGAGGTGTGGTTCAATTGTCAGATGCCCTATTTGTAGGATTTTCCGCCGCCACCGTGAGACCTCTGAGGCAGGAGGCGGAATCCTCTTTCACCTCGATACCCTCAGTGAGCACACGCAGCACGCTCGCAGCGGCGCCTTGGTGCACGTCTGAACACCACGAGCGACACGGCGACACGTTGACAGCGACGTGTTCAGGGAAGCAAGTCAGGCATTCGTCGGCGAGTGTGGGAAAGAACATGAAACAAAGACCATGGGTATCCACTCCAGACTGGACTCCAAACAACGACTCCAAACTACCCAGCCTTTAAAAAAAATATCAAGGTCCTGGAGTCCGGTCTTTTCTCGGTCGTGTGCGTGTTCATTTGCTCCATCAGGGCGCTTCCACGACCGCAAGCTTGGTGGGTTGGTGTGTTATTTTTTCTGAGACGAGCAAATCAGGAGAAAAGGGCATTCTGACGGCTGAGTTTCTTTTTTTTGAGGGGGATGTGAGCAAATACGAGCAAATGCCAGCATGTCGGCGGACAGGCAAGCGAAGTTGTTGGAATGCGAGCTAGTATGGGCCCCCTTACACGCAAGGAACCATATTATGGGGTTTACAATGTTTTTATTGTACATTCTGCAAAGAAAAGAAGACAACCCGTGACGCAATCACTGGCATTTGAGGAAAACGAGGTCAGTTGATGGAGAGACCATGCGTTCTTGGGTTGAATTCCCCAAAGGCTCCTTGCAAGGAACTCTCTCTCTCTCTCTTTGCATTCCGGGTTTTTGTTTGTTTATGATTTCCAAAGAGGGGCACTCCTGGATCGCGAAACGGGTGTCCATTGCCAAAGAACCGAGCTTTTTGGCGTCCTGAAGCCATGTGTTGTTTTCAACCAAGCTTCTGAGTGACCGATGCTTGCCGGTTGACCGAGTTCCGTGACTGTGCCTACGTAGAAGGCCAGCCATCAGACGAACTCCAAAGACGAACGAAGTCCATGAGCCTAGGCATGTTACAACCAAGAATCATTCACAAATCACTCAGAAGGGAACATCAAACAACTTTGACAAAGTTTTCTCCCTGAAAAGATTGGTCAAAAACAGGAGGCAACAGCGAAGCGAAGTGGCCGCCCTGCGGTTAGCAGCTCCTCAGGTACACTTTACCAAGAAGTTGCAGTCAAAGGCAGTTCCGACGGGCTGCCAGCGCTTAGTCAAGTTGGTTAACACTGCCCAGGTCATTGTTCAGTGGGTGGTGGTTTGAAGTTTGATGTTGTTTTTCCACCTCGAGACGGGACTAGTTCTTCCAACCTGCCCAGAATGTGCTCAAAATTGATCGTTCGCCGGGGTAATTACTATGTGTCCGGACTGGGGATGCTAGGCAGATGGAAGGGCTGCGCAGATTGTCGGCCGCCAGACCTAGGGACATATAGGTGAGTTTAATGGGGAGATACCGTGAGACACGGAGACACCGTGGCTGCGTGTCACTCATCCTTCGTCCCACTTCCTTCACCTCTTGTTACCCGCCGGACCTCCTCGACCTCCTGGCCCATATCCTCGGGTTCGGTGAAATTCGACCCCCCGTGGCACCCACCACCACCATGATTTGGCCGGCCAGGAGCCCTTCTGGGGAACTGGTCGATGTTCTTCCGGTCGGCGGATCGCCGTGGAAGCGGAGGGCTTCCAGACGTTTGATACACACCGACCCATACACGACCCATGGGACTGGAATATATGCCGCCCCATTGAACCCCCTGGCACCACCCCAACTGATCGGCATAGATTCCAGTCCCATGGAGCGTCGATGTTAAAAAAACATGGTCAGTTTGAGGTTTTTCTGAGTCAGGCATGAATGAGAATCTGTGGGTTCGGTTCATCTCAGACTGACCAGGGGAGACGAGTCCAGGTTCTGGACTGCTTTCGATATGGCGACTCCATTGACTATGGCGTACTATGGCCCCAGGTATTTGATGTAATTGGGACCGCAGGTACCTGAGATCCAAGACGAAGGAACGCAACGCAACTGTTACAACATAGAACGACTATACAAGTGAAGGCGGTACGGTTTCAAGTCGAAGCGAATAAGGGCGAGAGTAGTAGGTCGCTACGCCCTGTGCCTTCGAACGCCTCCAGTGCCTTTGGTCGAACACTTTGGAGCATCTGGCTGCAGTGCCTAGACAGGATTGCAGCCAGGCATCGACGGTCGGATCGAAGCTGTATTCTTCCCTCAGGCTTGTGGACCCAAACCAACTGCTATACATGTTTGAGGTCCAAAGCGCATTCCAAAGCCCCATGTTGTGAGGGTTCAATGAGCTATACTGAGCCTTTGGGTAGCATTTCTTTCATTTGCTTTGATCGAAGACGCCATGAAAGACGCATCTACACGCATGGGCTCCTGTCCAGTCATCTCTCTTAACCGTCCATAATTCCTACACTCATGTTTCGGTTTCTATCGCTTAGAACTAACTTAGAACACTTGATAGGGTATGATAGGGTCGTTCGACCTTGTGTCTTGTGTAAAAACTCCAGGGACTCCAGTAGGGAAACTGTGTTTAAAAAAAAAAAAAAAAAATTGCTTGGCTTGGTCACTATAGGATGCTCGCCCCAGCCCCGCCTTCAGCTCATCCTCCGCGAGGGGATCCGCCCGCCCACCAGGCCAAAGCACGACAGACTGGGCGGCGCAGCACTACCGCACCCAGTGCACCAGGCTCTAGCTGCCTGGCTGAGCAAAGGGCCTTGAGACTAGAACCCCTTTACCCTCGAAGTCATGTAGACTCTTGATTAATAAAGCCCCATATGAAGGAGAGTTTACAATATGAAATTATCTAAATTTAAGACATAATATGTATTATGTCTTTATGAATCAAGAGTCGACGTTACCCTCGAAGTAGTCTTGCAATAGGCTTACTTTGACTTTTGCCGTACTGAAAGGCTTGTGAACAATTCAGGATACCAATGTGTGTCAAATGCAGGTAACCCTTCATCAAGCAGAACCTGTCTATTTTCTATGTGTCACTTTGCCCTTCGAGACAGTTCAGGTATTGTTGACTTCAAATACCCTTCTGTGACCAGTCACAGACACATCAACAGCCAGAAGCAGTTAGTGACAACTTGTTCCTTTCCACGATTTTACCTTTTATAGGGGAATACAACCTTGATTGAAACTGAATGTGTAACGTATACAGCGATCACAACTGTTATCAAATGTTTTTTGCTAGGACTTTTGATCCCAATTCCCAGGGTGTTGGGTTGGGTGCGTGCCAAAACGTATATGGCCTGGCTGAAGAATCCGGGCCCTCAAACACATAGGGTTTGGAGTTTTTGTCGGGTCCGGACCCCGAACGATTCGGTTCCGACCCCGAATCCAAGCCCGGACCCAAGCTCTTGGGGTGAAGAACTGCTCCCCCAGGACAATCTGCGAGGCACCAGGGAGGCACCAGGGAGGCAGGAAAGACCATTTGGACAGCTTGAAGCTCTTCGCCCCGCCCGTCCGGGGCTCGGTCGCCGTCGCGAACCTAGGCTCTGATGCTCCACTCTTCGAGGCCGAGCTCGCTTGCGACCGGTGGGCCTGGCATCACGGAGTCGGTCAGTGGTTGTATACCTGAAGTGTGCTTCCCACAAGGAATTGAGAGTTGTATGATGTATGTATTCATAGTTTGTGTCATTATGTTGTATGATGTTGAGTTGTTTGTGTCATAGTTTGTTGTATGCATTATAAAGGTTTTTTCCTTCCACACCCACCCGGCCCAAGTTCTACTTGAGATCATGTCCACACCAAGAGGACCCACTTCATGAAGAACATGTGTGTTTTTATATACGTCTCTTTAAATAAACTACTGTATGTATATTATGTGGATCAGCCCACGAATTGAATCTCTTGCAGATGATACATTGACACATCACATATTTTCCATTGACAGCATTTTACAGCTGGGTCGTTTGCAAGATCCAACACCGGAGCTACCACTCAAGGTATCTCAAGGAGACAACCGGCCCTTGTCATCCTTTAAGCAATTTCTTGTAGACTATACCGCAGACACTCTGCAACATATGACCAATGAAGTGCCACCCTTATAACTTATAACTTATAACAAATAAACAAATTAATATAATATGCCAGTCCCATGGATATTAGGTTGGGGGCCATCGCTATAAGCTTGAGGGCCATCGCTTTTAGCCTGGACGCCATTGCTATTAGGTTGGAGGCCATTGCTGTTAGGTTGGAGGCCATGGCTATCAAGTTGGAGGCCATGCTTTTAGGTTGGAGGCCATTGCTATTAGGGTTGGAGGCCATTGCTATTAGGTTGGAGGCCATTCCTATTCGGTTGGAGGCCATTGCTATTAGGTTGCAGGCCATTGCTATTAGGTTTGCCATTGCTGTTGAATTGGAGGCCATTGCTAGGTTGACGGCCATCTCTATTAGGTTGGACGCCATCGCTATTAGGTTGGAGGCCATTGCAATTAGGTTGGAGGCCATTGCTATTTGGTTGGAGGCCATTATTGCTGTTAGGTTGGAGGCCAATGCTCTTAGTTTGGAGGCCATTGCTATTAGGTTGGAGGCCATTGCTATTAGGTTGGAGGCCATCGCTATTAGGTTGAAGGTCATTTCTATTTGGTTGGAGACCATTGCTATTTGGTTGGACGCCATTGCTATTACGTTGGAGGCCATTGCTATTAGGTTGGCGGCCAT